ATAAATGCTCGATGTGCTTATCCGGGTCCGATGGCACCTCAAATTTCAAGCAAGTGTTGCAGAGACTCTGGAGTTAGGTTGCATATGAGAATGAAGAAGATAATTCTGATAACAACATTGATTTATTGCGACAATAACATTCAGAGGCGAATTTAGAAAGTTTAGATAAAAAGTATTTATTAAAGTTTTCATAGGTTTGTTTTAACGCCAGTTTGTGTTACCTAACTATGTAACTTAATTCATTCTAATTAATTGGAGAAACGGGTTGACCAATAACAGGACCTTAAAATGTTTGCTATAGATCGACTACAATGTACGTTAATATGTAATACATTTAAATCAATTTAGATCAATCTTAATGATGTGATTTTAAATAGCAGAAGCGGATTTAGGGTGGGGAGTGGTGAAAAAAAAAAGAAAAAAAGAAAAATTGATCGCCCAAACGCATAAGGTTATTTTCGGGCGTCAGCAACTAAAGAACATGGGCCTAGGCTATTTAATATTATGATGTAGCTGGGCATGTATTTTATGGTGATTAATTAAAAGAAGTTTAACATTGTTCTGTGTATATTATTTGAATTTCTTCAATTTCAAACGAACGGCCCCTGATTTTCCTGTAATTTTTGCAGTATTTCAAATGAATATGTACCCACATAACTGTCTTCTAATCGGATTAAAATCTGGCCGATTTTTGGCCGATATTGAAAAAAAAGTTTGGCCGAATTTGGCCGTGAGATGGCGTGTGTTTGGTCGTGAAGCCTGTCGACTATATGACAACCATGGCCAATGGCATAATTTCACTCCAGCCAAATTTTACCGAGGTCGGCCACGCTGATCGGTGTTGCTTTGATCAGTTCGGTAGGTTATTTAATCTTTTTTTTAATCTGTATTACTGTACACATATATATTTTGTTAATTACTACAGAATACATAAGCCTAATCAGCTTGTTTAATTTAAGGAATTTGTCACCACCAATTCCCTTGTTTGGCGTTGAGGCCTAGGCCGAGCCTGCTGGTGGTAAGGTCGAACTGATATTCCTGATCTTGGTCCCAGTAGAGTCCTGGACATCAGTGATTTGTTCACCACAGAGGGAGTTGATAAACTCCTAGCTGATTTAAACCCGCATAAAGCTAGTGGGCTAGATGGTATTACAGCTAGAATGTTGAAAACCTGCTCTACTAGTATTGCACCGATTTTACAAAAAATATTCCAGATATCTGTTTCTACTGGTGAAATTCCCAGCTATTGGTTAAATGCAAATATCTCCCCAATTTACAAAAAAGGTGACCGTACTATTATCCACCTAATTACCGTCCGGTTTCCTTGACATCGATTGTCTGCAAGCTGCTTGAACATATTATACACAGTCATATCATGAAAGCATTTTGAACTAAAAAAAGAAAACTTTACAAAAAATATACCCGGTTAAAAACTGAGAAGTCAAAAGAAGAATTTAAAAAGTGCAGTCAACACCTCAAGAAAGAAATTTATTGCAGTCACAAAAATTATATTTTGAACATATCAAACAACAAGTCTAATAATGTTAAAAGATTCTGGGCTTATATCAGATCAATTAGACAAGAGTCCGAAATTATTTGTTTTAAGATTGGTGATCAATTGGTTGCTTCTGCTAAACAAATAGCAGATTCCCTTACGAAAATGTCCTATAGGAATCCTACAGGATCCTATAGGATTTTAAAGGTGTTCTAAAGGTTTGCATATTATCCTATCTAAATCCTATAGGACACCAAAAATCTGGTTATATGTGCATATACATAAAGGTTAAGGATTAATATATAATATACATACTAATAATAACATAGTGTTAAGTATACATGTATATATATATATATATATATATATACAGAC